CATCTGAAAATATTATCATGTAACTGAACATGCATGAAAAGCTTTTTCAGAATGATGGGGCTTCTTAGGGAAAGGACGAGACTTGTTTTAAATGTGCATATGCTGAAAAAAAAAATTAATGCAGAGAAAACTTGAGATAAGAATTAAATGAACTTAATAAATGCTGATTTAAATGTCAGAAAATCAATTAGACCTACCATTAAACCTGTTTGAGATAAATAATATTAAATCTGTTTAACCAAATTTGGGATACTGGACAGCTTCCTTCAGTATGGAAACAAGCAATAATAGTACCCGTTCTTAAACCAGGGAAAGACCCATCAGATCCTTCTAGTTACAGATCAATTGCCTTCACTTCACATTTATGCAAAATCATACGAATGATCACAGAAAGAATAACATTCTTCCTGGAAAATAAAACTCTAATCTAAATATCAGAGTGGATTTCGTAGGGGTCGGAATACAATGGATTCTGTATTGTGCCTAGAGTCAGACATAAGGAAAGCACAGACCAACAAAGAAGTAGTAATAGCAGTCTTCTTTGATGTGGAGAAGGCATATGATATGCTCTGGAAAGAAGGATTATTGATCAAATTAAAATCATTAGGAATTAATGGTAGAACATATAATTGGGTTTTGGACTTTTTATTTAAGAGAAAAATACAAGTGAGGGTAGGTTATGAATATTCCAGAGTATACACGGCGGAGAATGGTACTCCACAAGGTAGCATGTGTAGTCTGTTATTATTCAACATAATGATGAATGATATTTTCTCTCAGGTTGAACAAAACGTAGGAAGATCTTTGTATGCAGATGACAGGGCTTTGTGGATTAGAGGCCGCAATATATCGTATGTCAATAAGAAAATGCAAGCTGCAATTGATGAAGTGGAAAAATGGACCAATAAATGGGGATTTAAATTATCTGTAGGAAAAATACAGGTTATTTGTTTTTCAAGGCGGCACAAAATCTCACCCCTTTCTTTGAATGTATATGGGCAACAACTGGAGCAAATAAAAGCTGTTAGGTTTCTTGGGGTTTGGTTTGATGAAAATTTAACAAGGAAAGTTAAAGCTGGATAAAATTAAGGACAAATGTAAAAAGGTCATCAACATACTTCGGTGTTTATCAGGACAGGAATGGGGAGCAAGTAGACCATCTCTACAAAACATATATTGGGCACTCATGAGATCTGTTCTTGATTATGGATGTATAGGATGTAAAACCTCAAGGAATTAGATGTATTGCAAGCTCAGGCCCTGAGAATCTGTAGTGGGGCATGCAAATCATCTCCGGTATCATCAATGCAGTTGGAAATGGGAGAAATGCCATTAAGAATTAGAAGATTAAAATTAATGATGGCATACTGGGTCAATCTCCACGGACAAAATGAAAAACATCCTGTCAAAAGTGTATTAAAAGAATGCTGGGAACAACAAGTTTCGGATGGCTAGGTGATGCTAAAGCAAGCAATATAGGATTACATCAATTACTGTACAGTAATACAGTATCAATTTCCTCTATTCCTCCCTGGTTATTCCCCTTGCCTTATTAAAATGTGTATCTGTTCATTAATTCCAATATTTGATTCCAATAGTAATTGTCTTATATATTCATTGTACATACAAGTCATTTATGCCCCCCATTAGTCCCATCGCCTACACTTAAAAATTAATGTATTGTATGAACTTTATGAAGTAGAGGATGTGACTACATTATGCAAAGCCTGATATGCAGAGTCTTTCCCTGCCCACTCACTTGCGGAAATACCAGTGACTGTAGGAGAGAAATATCAGACATCCTTATCAATGGAATGAGAAAATAAAGGAATCACTTTCAAATGCCTTAAAACAGATTATAAATGCATATGCTTGTTCCTGGCCAGAGGGAAAATGGGGATTTCTCTCATTAGTCCGATAGTCAAATCAGGAATGAACTCACAGAAGAAATTCGGGCTTTCTCTCTCTCTCTCTCTAGCTTTTTATTGAGGAATATACAGTATACTGATTATAACCAGTGTTGGGGAAAGTTACTTTTAAAAGTAATGCATTACGCAATATTGCGTTACTCCATAAAAAAGTAACTAATTACGTTACTCAGTTACTTTTTATGGAAAGTAATGCGTTACGTTACTTTTTAAATCTGGAAAGGGCTTGCTTGTTTATTTTTAAAATAAAAAAGTTATATTTTTGGCAAATATAAAAGCTTTTTCACACCAAAAATGAAATTAATAAGCCTCAGGCTGAAGGGAAAGGAAATTTACGTCCGTACAGTAGAATGCAGAAGAAGAAATTTCAACACACTTCAGCAATAAAAAAAAGACACAAATGTTTGTCTACGGTAATTTTTGCTTATTAGTACGGTTGAACTGGATCATCGAAGGTCAGAAGCAAAGACATTGGTTAATAGAATGGGATTAAATACATAAAGGATATTTGTGTTGTTTAACATTTAATTATTGCAGGTTTGCGTCCTATTCTGAGTTGCATTATTTTTATTCATTTTGAGGAATACTGAATCTGTTTTTTTTTTGTGAGTGAGATGAATTAATGCATATTCATATTTATTTTAGAACTACAGTAACATCTTCTGATTTCTCTCAACATGGGGACAGGAGAGCGGTCAATCAATAAATTGGAAAAAAAGTAACTTGCATTACTTATTTGAAAAAGTAACTCAGATATTCTCTTGTAAATTAAAAAGTAATGCGTTACTTTACTAGTTACTTGAAAAAAGTAATCTGATTACGTAACTCGCATTACTTGTAATGCGTTACCCCAACACTGATTATAACAGATAGGAAAGAAACATCTTTTCATGATTCCATGATTTTTTTCTCTCTTTAATGTTTAACAAGTGTTGAAATCACCAAAATTATATCTATGTACACTTCCTTCAGACAGATTATTAAGAAAGCTGCCAGTGTTACTCATGGCACGGCCTAACAAAAACCTGACAGTTTGTACACTGACAGGTCAGTGAATAAAAGCCAACAAGTGACGCCGGTCTGTGGATTAGATAACTCTACTTTCAGCCTAAATACCAATAAACAATAAAGGGCCCCTTGTACAAACTCAAACAGTATGCAGCTTATTCCTCATTAGAGATGACAGCATAAAAGAACGATTGGTTGTGTAGCAGCCATTGTAAGGTGTTTGTGATGTGCTTTCACTGGAATCTGTAGTAAAAATGATTAATTATGCACTGACAATTATTTTGCTTCACCAAGAATTCCTTTGAGAGAGATTTTAGTTCACATTTGACAAGTTATACATATATCTGAAATTCTAGCAATTTTACATTCTTTAGCTCTACATATAGCGTAACGTTAAGAAACACCTTATTTTCAGCTATGCTTTGTTATCATGAAAAAAATACTGTTAACTTTAGTCATGGCGTCACTGCCCTGTTATCTCAGTATTGTTGGTTTAGTAACTTAATAACAGTGAGCCATGAAAGGCCGACAGCTCCCCTGTGGGCTCCCCCAAATCTACAACTTCTGACTAAGAGGTTTAGCTTTGGCCTTGTTAACTTCCTTGAAATGAACAAGCATGAGAGATTACTGATAAACAGTCGATCCCGTTCCCTTTACCAGGAAATGACACCCACTCCCACAATGTTCATTTGGATGATGCCATTACATTGCTGTAATCACGTGACAGGCACATTTCAATGAGAGTAGATATCTCATGAGGAAGATCCTAAGGCATTCATACTCCAGTGGATTTTCGTCTGACGCAAGAGAAAATTCCAATGATTGTATTATTCGTCAGTCAGAGGACTTTGGAATCACATCTGTATAAACATTCCAGACTACTTTTTAATGATATGGCTCAATAGTATTAGTTTTGAACAGATGATTCACTGAAAAAACATACATTAAGACAGCTACACACCTCCGAGTCCATAAAAAAAGTAAGAATCATTCTTGATGACTAGTTTACCCCTGCTGATCACTTGTAACTACTGTTACAAGTTTTTGTGGCTTTATTCTGTACAATTGAATTAATAATAATAGGAAAATCATGATCTGGAATAACCTTTAGTCTTCCCAGTTAGTCATTCAGGCTCTATTTTACTGGCCTGCATTTCTCATTCAAAGCAATATAATATACATAGTAAAAATGTGCTACAACTATATTATGCTCTTACCATTTCATCGTTTGAACTTAATACTAATACCTTAATACTGTTAACACAATAAATGTTCTGATACCATTTTTAGAAATAATATTATTGTTCTAACAGAACTTGACCTAGTATCAAGACTTACATTACCGTTCAAGAGATTTTATTATTATTTTTATTAGAAATGAATACTTTTATTCAGCAGTTATCCATTAAATTGGTCAATAGTGACTTACATAGTTACTTTCTATTCACGGTTTTCAGAGACATATCAAGCACCAGTTTTTAAACATTGATAATAAGAAGAAGAAATGTTGCCCGAGCACCAAATCAGCATATTAGAATGATTTCTGAAGGATCATGTGACATTGAAGACTGTAAGTAATGGCTGCTGAAAATTCAGCTTTGCCATCACAGGAATACATTTATATATTTAAATGTATTAAAAAAGAAAACATTTAATAATGTTTCACAATATTACTGTTTTTACTGTATTTTTGACCAAATAAATGCAGCCTTGCATTAAAAATAATAATAATAATAATAAATAAAAAATCCAACCCTGAACAGTAGTTTAGTAGTTTGCTGCTTTGCCTGCAACAAACATGAATGTGAATGTAACGAATCTGTTTACATTACCGTGCTTCCCTCTAGCGGACAGATCAGCATTCAATCACAAACTAGCGTCAATGCTGGTGTTTGTAATTGTCATAATTGTCTTATATAAAACACACTGCTTGTATACCATCAGAGTCCGACCATTTTGAGGCTAAGTTCATTACTCAAACAATATTTGAAGTCCCACAATACACATTCGGAAAGTAGTCTAATTGAAATACATGACAGCTTTTCAAAATATATTACTTTAATAAGAACATTTCTTTTAAATAAAGTTAAATAAGGTTTTAACAAAACAATAAAGACAAACTTTACTTTTTCTAAGCTAACAGCATGGAAAAGTCGTCTTTTTAAAAGAACCTTTCCCAGCACAGTAGGATAAATCATTTAATCAAACAGACAATTTTAATATAACTAGATAAAGCTTCACATAAAAGATAAAGTGATTATGCTTAAAGTTACCTCATTGTAACTACACAAAATGGGGGTCTATCTATAAAACCAGTGCTTAAATCCTAACCCATAAAGCATCTGTGTAATTCCAAATAACCTTTAAGATGTTATGATCAACACCCTGCATTAAATCTGTACATATCCGTAAATATGACATTCATACACCACACCCAGCTATATTTTCAACTTAAAATGGCTTACGTTTTAAAATAAACTATGGTTTTAAATTATATGTAAAAATACGCCCTGTTCGAATTTCACAGTGCATAACCTAGCAAGGCAAAGATAGACATCTGTCTCTGCTTTTGATGATCGATCCATTACAGTAGCTGGGTTTCTGATTTGCACTGACTTTCCTTTTATTCCAAACCCAAGTTATTACTGCACAATCGGTGCACAACCTTAGAGACTTATGAAAGAAAACAATACAACGTAAATCAAACATAACATAAAAATAAAAAATAAAAAAAAAGCTCCACATCTTGCTTCCATCAAAATATACTTGCCGGGTGGGTTACATTCCTGCAGTTTTTATGCACTTTTTCCAGTCAGCAGAAGTGTACACCTAATCCACACATAAATCACCATCCCAGGGTCTGCGGGTTCAGTCTTAACCCAAAAGATTGTATCATAAAGTACTTGATGTACCTGGAAAAGTCTGTTTATATATCAAAATTGTGAGGATACTACTAGCATGTATCAACTAAAAAAAAAAAAAAAAAAAAAGAAGACATGATTTTAGCATAGAGAGAGAGAGCAAAGCAAACAATGTGATCTGAACTTTGGTCAGACACTAAAATAACTCACATGAAAAGTAGTTCTATTGAAGATAACGGGATACACTCACCATGATACCACCACTTAGTTTTCTTTGGATTCTTATTACATGTCTTTACATAAAAGGAGTTATCTGGAGGGCGTTGCTGAAAAGCAAACAATTCATTAGACAACCGTAATTAATTCAATTATTAACCTTTCCCAATTTGGTTAATCAAAAGGTTAAATGTACCTTTTCTTTGCAGCTTGACAGCATGCTAATAATGCTTAAACACACAGATTGCACAGACAGAGCTGGTGACCAGTCCTCCGTTAAAATAGATAAACAGATGTGACCGTTACTATAGACGTGCGGATGGATGGGTATATTCTCTCCAGTGAACATTACCTAGAAACAATATATATTAGCAACAAGCATTCAGCTTTGACACATAGATAAAAACACCAACATATTATAAAAGATTCACAGTTTACCTGAGGTGAATCAAAAGGATATCGACCACTGAATTTGAAGAGGAGCTGAAACTTCTCTCCTTCATAGAGAGTACCTGGAGCACCTTCCATATCTATAAACCACCTGGACAAACACAAAGGTGTATTTATGAGAATACAATCATTGTTCCTTGCTTTGACTCAAATAAATTAACCCATTAAGTGCAGAAACTTAAATAGTTTAAAGAGTTATTTTACCCAGAAATTAAAATTCATCATTTACTCACCCTCATACCTTTCCAAAACCATGAGACTATCGTTCATCTTCATAACACAATTGAAGCTATTTTAATGAAACTTGAGAAATTTCATTGAAGGTCCATTCTACCAAGATTTTGATGATTCAAAACATTTATTAAAACATGCATGTTTAAACATTTGTTTACCTTTTTTATGTGCTCCGTGTATGTCAATCAATATTTATATGTGAATAAAAGCAATCATGTCTCTTCAGAAGACGTGGATCAAACCACTAAGTTAATATTGGTAACACAATCTCTTTATAAACTTCTTCACTAGTCAACGTTTTGGTTACATGGACCGAAATCTCTCAGGTTTCATTAAAATATCTTCATTCGTGTTTCAATGATGAATTAAAGCAGAGGTGGGCAAACTACGGCCCGCCGAGAGTTTTCATCCGGCCCATGAGGAGGTGGTCCAAAATGGCTAATTTGATGCAATGTCAGTAAAATCCAATAGATAGCGCTGTAGCCTGTAGTGCAGTATATAACCCCTGATTTACACTGCACGCGTCTGTTAAAGGGGTCATATGATGCGATTTAAATTTTTCCTTTCTCTTTGGAGTGTTACAAGCTCTTGGTGCATAAAGAAGATCTGTAAGGTTGCAAAGACTAAAGTCTCAAATCCAAAGAGATATTCTTTATAAAAGTTAAGAGTCAACCACACCTACCTAAAACGACTCGTTCTAACACGCCCCCACATGTCTACGACACGATGTGAGACGATTTGCATAACTCCACCCAAATGTTCACGCAAAGAATGGCGGCGTAACTTTTATTCTCGCTGTAGTATTGTTGCTGCCGCCATGTCGTGAAGGGTGGTTAAGTTGTATTTACAACACTGTTCCAGAACAGTTCAACCCAAATATTCAGATGTGTGCAGCGCATTTTATGGAGGACTGTTTCCTGATCCTGGAAAAGTAGACTACAATGCCAGCTGTTCTGACTCACAGACTGTAAGTAGGTTTTCATATTTAAACGATTTGCCACTGACGATTCAAACGCGAGTTTTGAGCAGTGTAGAGTAGCGCTTGTTGTTTGTCATTTCTCCGATCACAAATGCAGACATGGTTTTGTTTATGCGGCGCGATGCAATGAGTAAAAAGACAGTAGAAGTCATTATAATCTGTAATTATGTCCCCACTGGATGCAACGAATGCCTCGTTTATAATGGGTTTTAATGTTTTTGTCTCGTCACTCCGGCCGGACAGGGCATCACAGTATGGTAAGGGGAGTAACATTTCCATCACACGCTTGAGGTATTCGGCCAATCACAACGCACTGGACAGCTGGCCAATCAGAGCACACCTCGCTTTTCAGATCACTTTATAAAAATCGAGACATTTCAGAAAGGCGGGGCATAAAGGAGAAACAATAATGTACAGTATGTGGAAAATAATGTGTTTTTGAACACATTAATGAACAAATTTCATTACACCAAATACACAAAATAAATGTTATTTTTAGCAACATCATATGACCCTTTTAAGCCACTTTACGTATGCGTGACGTAAAAATCGTCATCCCATTTTTTGTGACCGCGGTCAGTAGGCTGACTACAAAAGCACCAACTGCGCATGTGCAGGTTGTGTGAATAAGCCCGTTGCTACTCTAACCTGTACAATCAATTCAATAAAACAATATAAAGACAGCCAGATGTGCATGTAACAGTTCGTAGTTCGGGAAGAAGGAGGTGGGAACCGGCGAACATTTAAACACTTTAGTAAAATAAACAAACACAAAATGAAAGTACAGCGGCACAAAATAAAATCCAGGCCTGGGGGGTATTCCAAAAAGTAGGTTATGTGACATACCCGGGTATGTTTGAGGATAAGCGAGCGGATAACCTCAGCTTTCGGTTCCAAAATCGGAGGTTACTTTCAGGCAAGGGTGTAACTTGGGTTTGAGAAGTGGGGGAAAATGTTTCGATTTGAATCCCATTTCCTGCATGTACATACATTTAGGGACTATGGTGATACAAAATCCAGGAAATAATTAAGTTGATTAATGATAAATTCTGCCAAAAAGAATAGTAGGCTACTAAACTATGTATAAGAAAAAGATGTCTTACTTTCTTTATTGTTTAATAGGGCCGATCGCCAAGACTTGAGAGAATAATTTTATAAAGTTGAAAATGTTCACCATTAATGTTTTGAATAATGTTTAAATAATGTGAGAATTTCCACTGTTAAACAAACTTTTATTTCAAACCAACCGCTGTACCTGAAAATATAAAATAAATCACTTGTTGCACAGGACAGAATGTTCTACATCAGTGGTTCCCAGACTTTTTAGAGTGGAGTACCCCCTGAGGCATTTCTGCTTAGGCCTACCCCCTATCGTCCACTTAGGGTTAGGGTTAGGTTAGGCCTACGGCGTAGGTCCGACACAGAAGTATAAATCAGCCTTTAGACTGTTCCTTTTCCATTAAAGGACCCTATTTGCCCCCTAAATTGACTTTCCAATGCATTTTTTATCTTTATAAATAGAAAATGTTTTAATATGTTTTAAAAAAATGTTCAATAGATTAATATGAAATGATAAAAAAGTGAAAAAAGATTTTTAAATACTAAAACCGCCAGTAGGTGGCGGTAAGTCACTGTCTAATGCGTGAGTCATCGAGTCATTTGTTCATTCAGTAACTAAGCAAGTGGCTGTATTTATAAATGAATCATTGAATCAATGACTTTCATGAACGATTCGCACGAAACACCGCAAAACTCAGCATTTTGTTCGCTCTGTCGCCTCACGTAACCAAGTTTAGGAACCACTGTTCTACAAAGCTCATCGGACTGAAAAGCGAGGTGTGCTGTGATTGGCCAGCTATCCAGTGCGTTGTGATTGGCCGAATGTTTTAAGCGTGTGACGGAAATGTTACTACCATACTGTGATGATGCCCTGTCCGGCCGGAGCGACGAGGCAAAAACAGAGTGGGGGTTCAATCTTCAACTGGCTGGCAGGAGCTGGCACTGAGTGAGCGGAGGCCGGGGGATAAAGTGAGGAACGGCCAGAGGGCTGGAATGAGCGGAGGTCGCGGATTCGACGAAGCAGCGTCCAGCGGGCCTGCAGCAACCAAATGTGACGACTCCGGGCTGGACTCCGCTTCTCCACGGTGAAAGCCGATCCGGCGATCCACAGCGCAAAGTTGTAGTATTTCCTCAGCGACCAGCACGGATCAGCTCCAGGCATGACAAAGCAGATATCGTCCTCTTTTGGAAGGCCAAACAAAGTAGTTTCACTTTCACTACGAAGCACACAGTGCCTTCACGACATGGCGGCGACGACAATACTACAGCGAGAATAAAAGTTACACCTTTCTTTGCGTGAACATTTGGGCGGCGTTATGCAAATCTTCCCACATAGTAACGTAGACATGTGGGGGCGTGTTAGAACGAGCCGTTTTAGGTAGGCGTGGCTGACGCTTAATTTTTATAACGAATATCTCTTTGTATTCGAGACTTTAGTCTTTGCAACTTTACAGATCTTCTTTATGAACCAAGAGCTTGTAACACTCCAAAGAGAAAGGAAAAATTGAAATCGCATCATATGACCATTATGCTCTGTAGACCTTCCAGTAGGAGAACAAATGCCAGTGTTAGGCTATCCTCCTGCTCACGTCACAGGCACTGTAATTTTGTGGGGAAAACATGGAAATAATTTTTCGTTATATCTGGCAAAGATTACGTTTTCCACACATATTTTTATGACAATGGATATAGTTATTTTCTGGATTATAAATCACGTTTTAATCATCTGAAACGTGCTGCGATTTCCAAGGCGACTTATTTAAAGCAATCAAATCATAGCCCAACACTGGCATCTGTTCTCCTACTGGAAGGTCTACAGAGCATAAAGCATTTTAAAAATATTTAGGTTGGGTGTGTTAATAAATGTTTATAGTGAATGCCACTATAACTTGTGTTTGTTTTTACTTATATTTTTGTTCCTTTTTCTGTTCTAAACACTGCTAAATTTACAGGATTTTTTTTGTGGAGTGAGGGGAATATATACATGTTTCTAATGTTTGTAAATGTTTCGTTTATTTTACATGATTTATGAATGAAATGATAAAATGTGTCATACATCAATCGACTTGTACACCGATGCAACTTATCTATGTCATAAAGTGCTCATAAAAAATAAGGCAGATGGTAGAAGAATATAACTGCCATGTATGTACAAGTATGCATACAGTATACAGTAGTGGCCAATTTAATAATAAAAAAAGCTTAATTTGTCATACACATAACTATCCCCTAACCCCTCACTTGGTGTGGAAAACTTGATGTGGCCCTCAAAATCAAAAAGTTTGCCCACCCCTGAATTAAAGTCTCATGAGTTTACAACAACATAAGTGTGAGTAAATGAAACCGAAGAAGTACTTTTGTACTCAAAAGTGGAGGAAGATAAACCTGGGCTTGAAAGGGCGGGGTTTAAGATGATTACATTTTTGGAAAAGTCCGCATACTTTATCAATTCTGTCATTTTCACTGGAAGATCCAGTTGACATACTGATTAAACATTATGAGGTCAAAACATTTAAAAATGTGTATGGACGAATTGTTCAAATCTATTAAAGTTACATGTATTTAGAAAATGTATGCATTTTCATTTCATGCTAACTTTAAGGAAAGGTTGCAGGTTGTCAAAATATAATCCAGCCTCAACTGCTCGATCTTACATCTTTACACCTTTCACAACTTACTCAGTGATTGTGTTCTGCACACTTCTCTCATTCAGTGTCATTCCAGGAGGTGGATCACTTTGCAATGCCAACAATTCCTTTTGTAATCGCTTCTGGAAAGCGAAAATAAGTTGATTTAATTGATAACTCAGTAAAAACAGGACAGCCCTTACATCATTCTAAACCACTAATCCACCATTTTAATACAAAGTGTATGATTTTAAACACTTCACCTTAATTAAACCAAAAAAAATAGTGTACGAAAAGTACTGAAAATACAACTAGCAAGCAGATTGCTAACAGCAAGCTAGTCAAACAAACGAGTTGCACTAATATAGAAGCTAGCGATTAGGCACCATTACAATTATTTACAGCTCCGGAAGAACTCTGCTTCATAATTCCCGTTTCACATCGCTTTCATAAGGATCGTCTTCCACCGCCACAACCGTATGTGATGTGACAGCACAGAGTTTGTTGGGTTGTCAGACTGACTGAACGTTAGCTTACAAAGTAAACAAATGTGCGTACAAATGAAACAGCTTACTCTCCTGGGTTCAGACCAGTACTGGCAGGGACACTGGACGACACCCAGTACGTATTACAGCTATGTGTGAAAAATAGTTTATATTGTTATTTGAAAATAGTTGCTTGAGTAGCCTATGTAGGGAGACACTCACCTGCATAGACGCCATGATGGAAAGCCACTGTAGAAAGGCGATTGGCCGAATGACGTCTGATAAGGGTTTTTCACGGAACCGCAATGCAACAACAGTTTGCAACAATGTTTAGGGGAGGTACTACAGGTGAACATGCTGAAATCCTTTATATAAGCCAAAATAGTCTAAAGATCCTCCTTTTTACGTAAGAAAATACGATACAACTATAGAGTAACGTTTTGTGCAAACCCGAATTAGGCATTTAAATAGGGAGACTGCGCTTGTTGCTACACTTTTTAGTCCAGTAAATATTGCTCAGGGTGGGTTTTTTTAAAGTAAATTTCATGTAGGCACATACCTTGAATGAATTGTACATTTCCTCTGTTATAGCAGAAGAAAGATAAAAGCACTTTTGTGACAATGTGCCCCGCTATATTGGATAAATAAGTTGTCACAGTGAAGTCTGCCAGTTAACACTTTCAGCTAAATGTGAACAGCAGAAAGACAAAAACGTTAAAGGAAACATTCAAAAGCATCACACCATTGTAGTGACCAATAATAAATTGTTTATTTAAAATATTGAATGTTTTAAAGGGGTCATATGATGCGATTTCAAGTTTTTCTTTCTCTTTGGAGTGTTACAAGCTGATTGTGCATAGATAAGATCCCTGAAGTTGCAAAGACTAAAGTCTCAAAACCAAAGAGATATTCTTTATCAAAGTTAAGACTCTGCCACGCCCCCCTAAAACGGCTCGTTCTAACACGCCCCCACATATCTACCTCACTATGTGGAAATATTAGCATAATGCCGCCCAAATGTGCACGCAAAGAAAGAAGGCGTGGTTTCAGTACCCGCAGTTAGTGTTGAAGCAGCCATGTCAGGGAGACGCTGTGTTTCTAGGCGAAAGCAAAAGCACTTAATTGGCCTTCCAGAAGTAGATGCATTTAGGAATCTTTAAGATTACTTACAACAGAACAGCAATGCATTTTATGGACGACCGTTTCGTGAACCTAGGAGAGGAGGTAATTCTGACTTTGCTATGACAATCTGGCGCTTCTGAATCAGCTACTGTTTTGTTATTAGTTTAAGTATTTGCTATTGACTGTTCAAATGCTGAGTTTTGCGCATCATGTGTGTGTGTGTGTGTTTGTGTGTGTGTGTGTGAGCGAGCGAGAGACAGAGCGAGAGAGAGCGCGCTCGCGAGAGAGAGACAGAGCGAGAGAGAGGGAGAGAGAGGGAGAGGGGGTCACATCAATGTGGAGTCAGCTGTCTTAACCGTGGCTTGTGTACTGCAAACACATACCAGCTTCATCACTGTGTCTGTCACGCGACTCTGTTCCCCTTTCGGGCTCTGTCTTTACATTTGTTTTGAAAGATGAAGCTCGCGATTATGGTAAGGGGCGTTACATTTCCAACGAGTGCTTGCGGTGTTCGGCCAATCACAATGCACTGGGTCAGCTGGCCAATCAGAGCAGACTGCGCTTGTCGGAAGGAGGGAATTTGTAGAAAACGAAGCGTTTGAGAGAGGCGGGGCATAGAGGACCTACAATAATGTACAGTATTTGAAAAATAATCATATGACCCCTTTAATGTAATATTGTTATATAATATTTTATACATTTAAATGTATTATATATCAATAAATTGTATATTTAGATGTTTTCTTAAAGTTTGATAATTCCTCATTTATATCTGCAGGATATTCCTTTAATAGCATAGTAAACCTAGCTAGAAATATCCCTTGGTGTCATTAACTTTCAAAAATGCAAAAAGATGCATGGAGAACAGAAGAAATATTCAATTTAAACTGTTAATTTGGGGGTCTTCTTTTTAGGATTTTGTGCCCAATAAGTGAAGTCACTGTTTGATTTAAAGTGACAGTTCACTCAAAAATTTAAATTTTGTCATCATTTACTGACTCAAGTTGTTCCAAACCTGTAGGATTTTCGTTCTCATGTTAAACATAAAATAAGATATTTTGAAGAATGTGGGTAGCCAAATATTTGATGGCCCCTACTGACTTTCATACTATGGAAAAACAATAAGAAAAAAAAAAGGGGGGGGGGGGGGGGGGGGTCTGAAAAACAGCCAG